ATATTTACTTTCATTTCATATCCCTTTTATATCCTACATAACTTAAGTCTTATGTTTTTATTAACAAGAATTGTTCAAAGGAAATTTAGCTAGGTCATTTTTAATAATTATAAACTTTTGGTGTTACATATATTTAAGTTAAAGTAGCATTAATTTATATTAAATTCTAAAGTAATTTTTATTAGAAAGCTATTTTTCAGGTGTTCTTATTATCAAAGTATTTTAATAAGAAGTGTTATATTTTGTTTTGTTTTTTTTAAAATATAACAACTTTACTCTATGATAACTTTGACAATATGTCCTAATATATATTTAGATACATCTTAATAATTTTTTTATTAAATTCCCTTATTATGTTGATTTTTTTTATCAAGTCTAAATTAATTTTTTTTTCAAATATACAACTATAAAATTTATAAGTTTTTTAACAATAGCAAATATAATTCTCCTAATGCTTGAATTTGATTGAATTGCTAGAGATGATAAATGCACCATTTGATACACGCATGTGGCCCTAGATACATGCCAAATTAAAACATAAAATGTAATTAATAACTTACCAAGAACATTTTTTACAGCATTGATAAATCATTTTTCAAAATAAATGTATATTCTTGTGGGATCTATATCTAAATTATGTTCATTTGCTATTTAAGTTATTTGAGTTTTTTTTGTAAAAGGCAGTAAACCCCCGTTATCACAAATAATTTATATGATACGCGTATAACATATAACTGAATGAATCCTTCAGTTTATAGTTTGTGGTTTCCATCAAACATTAGTTACCTTAAATATATCTCTACTTTATAAAATGTAAAGCAAAATATTTTATATTTACCATTTAAAGTATTTAATAAAGATGTTCACATATTTTATTTCTAAATTCTTAATTCCACAGATTTTTTTTCTTCAAGGTTTTTTTTCCCTCAGATTTTTCGGTTGAGTTTTTTTCCATAGGCTTTTTCGGGATTCATTAAAAATAGATTTATAAATTAATAAATATTTAATCTCAAATTTTTATTTAATAAAAAATTGATATATTTAAAAAAACATTTCTGAAAATTATATTTAAAAGATTATATAATAAAATTTTGATTAATTATGATTAATTGCTATTTAGCAATGCAGTATTTAGTCATGCCTAAATATATTAAAGCTCAGAATTTAAAAATTTATATATATTCCTCTATAATCGGAAGTTTATAGCTCAACTAGAAGTCACGCAATAACGATTTATACAATAAATATCGCCTTGGGTTAAAGTTGTTATGGGTAAAGCGGTTAAAATGTTTCGTCTGATTAGCTGTATAATTGAAATGTATGACGCGCTTAAAAAGCAATAGAAAATTTGCTAATTTTGATACAATTTTTTAAATTCCGGTATTGTATCGATTAGTTTATACTAAAAGTGATGAGATCTAAATCACAATATTTTGTTCAATTAAACAATATAATTATGTTCAATTTTATTTTAACTACTTTACCCTAGGTATGGGGTAAAATGGCAAAAATGGCACACTTCACATAAATGATCACAGCTCCTAAAATATTATAGTTAGAGAGCTACATCTTTTTTATTATATGAAGGATTAGATTATAAAAGATATATAATTTGTTCTGCTTTTTAATGTTTCAAAATATTATTGTAAAAATATAATATACCAATCTTTTTACCCCGATCTCCCCTATATCAAAAAGGAAATTTTAGCTCATTAGCAATTATATTACCTAAGATAATAGGGATTAAGGATACAAAAATCGCTTCTTTTTTTACCTTTTAGGGTGCATTCACAGTAGAGAGCGACAGCGACACTAAACGACAGAGCAGCTGATGTGTCGTAAGCGACAAGCATATTTTTATTTTTTTTAAAAAAGTTATCTATACAAACTTTAAAATTATTCCTACTATATCCTTATATGAAAAGGAGAAAAAATAATCTGAATGTTAGAAAAGAAGAGGAAGGAGAGTTCTCAGTACTATTCCCAAAACTTATAAACAATAAAAATTTTACAATTATATGAGATTAACCAAAATATATATTTCATTGTATAATCTAAATTGGAATTTTGTATTTAGAAAACCTTTTATTATATTTTAACCCATATTAAATCAAAACTAATGGTAAAAAAACAAATTTTATTCAAAATCCTACATCAGTAGAAGAAAAATTGATAATAACACTAAGGTTTATATTAATTTTATTTTACATAATCAAGATTGCTTAGATATTTGGGAACAGGTTGTAACTATCCATCGCCTTTCAAGGGCTAGAAGGGTGGAATGCACCTTTGGCATATTGGCCTCTAAATGGTGTATTCTTAATCGAGCCTTGGATACCAAATGTCACCAATAGCGAAACAATTATAAAAACTTATGCACTATTACACAATTTGGTTATTGATAAAGAAAACATAGATCTCCACCTCAAGGATACTCAAGATCCTAAATAAAATAATTATTTATGAAATCCTAAATCTATAAAAAAACCCTCAAAGGTTTCTATAGATATTAGAGATGCCTTTTCTGAATATTTTTATAGAAATAAATTATCATCGCAATTGTAGCTTTATAATTATTTTTTTAAAAATATTACTCTATTTTTTTTATATTGATTTGTAATTATTTAATAAAAAGAAAGTTTATTATATGTGTCTTAAATATGATTAAAATAATATAAAAGCCCTCCAATGAAATAATAACAATGCAATATAATATTTTATATTATTCTTGATCACTGTCAAAATTGAAGAGTATATCAAAAATAATTTTAATAAGCTTTTTCTTTCCCCTTTCTGATCTTTTTGTTAGGGTTTGCTCAAGCATGACATTGATCCAAGAATTTGTAGATAATCTTCTTTCTTTCATTTTTTCTAATTCAAGTATTTGCTTAAATAGATCTAGTTTAAAATAATAAAAATATTTACAACTGCAAATTACCTTGATCAATATCCCTCTTTTTAATTAATTTTTTGCAAGATAAACTTGATCCTATACTAATTGATGGTGATGCTAAATATATATAATATTATTTATATAAAATATGATTACAATCATTCCTTAAAATTGTAGCTTCACTACTTGTCTCTATGCAGAGGATTTCAATGGCTATGTATTAATAAAATCTTAACAAAAATTAGTATATTTACCATCTTCATATTGATAATTTTCATTACCACTCATTTGCTCAAACATTGCTCTAGCAATATTTGCTTCATCAATTTTAGATATAACAGGATTTGTTTTTTTTCAAATTGGTATACTGAATCCCTGGCTCTATAGTTGGATTAAGGAAAGCCATGTTATGTTGCCAAGTGGGAGTTTGATTAGTCCCTGACCCACTCTTTAAAGATGTTAATTTTTTATGTTCCCTCATAAAGCAATCTCTTAGATTTTTCCATGCTAATTTGGCCATCTCTATAGCAAAAGAAAAATATTTCAAATTTATATACTCTTTAATTACCTGTCTCAATATTGTTTTTAGCTGATATTGATTTCCATATAGAGTTATTCTTCTGGGTATTTTTATAACCTATGCATTTTTTGTCATAAAGACAAGTATGGTATCTGAAGGAGTTGATTAAATCTTCTTTATTGATTTTCTATAAAAAATTATTAACATAATATTTATTTATATTCTAATATATATAACATTTATTATTTTAATAGCATTTCAAATTTACTTGCAAATTTTCTTTTTCGGCCATATTGTAGTTATGTCGCTTTGAAAAAAAAAACAAAATGTTTTGTAAATTGATTTCTATGTTTAATGCGACAAATTTGTCGGGAATGTCGTGTCGCGATGCAAAAGCTCGCTATGAATAGTCATTAGTAATTACATATATTTGTATTTTGTCGTGTCGCTGTCGCTCTCTACTGTGAATGCACCCTTACTGATGTTAAAGAGTTTAAAATTAAATGCTAAATTAGTTCGAACATTGAATCTAATATTAATAACTAAGTCAATAATTGTATTATGGGGGAAACACAAAATTAAATTTGTTTAAAATATAATTAACATTTCGAATATATTTTGAGCTCCTATTTTTAATTTCTATTATTTTTTTTTACTAGTAATAATTGGAATAATTAGCGCGGCTGGGTAATTATAAATATCGCTAATAATGTATAAAAAACTTATATAAATAAGTAGAACATTTCAATGCAATAAAAGGCTTTCTTTACCCTTTGAAATCATCATAAGTCATAATTGATTTACGAGTAATATGCATATTGAATATTTTTTTTCATAATCCATGAACATGATATTACTCGTTAATCAATTTTAATGCCTTAAAATGATTTTAAACGATAAAAAAGGCCGTTTATTGCATTGAAACATTCACATATAGCCCTATCCATCCATACGATTTTTATACATTATTCGCTATGTTATTTTAAATAATTGCCCAGCCACGCTATAGAAGAAATTATTTGGAAAATAGTAAAAGAATAATAGAAAATGAAATTTGAAAAATTGGAGCTCATAATATATTCGAATATTTTCAAATGTACATAAGATGACCAATATTTTTAAAAACCGTTTCCCTCATAATTATAATTATTGACAGTTATTAAAGATTCAATATTCAAACTAATTAAGATTTTAATTTTTAACTAATTATTCAACATCAATAAAAAGGTTTTAAAAACGAATTTTTGTAATTTAGTCCCCATTATTTTACATTGTATAATTGCTAATGAGCTATAATTTCGTTTTTGATATAATAAAAACATATATAACGCGCCTACCAATTTTATCGAAATTGAAAGAGACCAGACGAAAGGTTTTTGATATGACATGTGATCCAGGTTATGATTATCTGTATATTCAAATATTTAAAAGAAAACTTTTTTGTTGGCATTAAACCTAAAAAACATAATATAATTCAAAAATCTATTTCAGCTGTATAAAAAAATTTTTACTGATTTTTATAATTCTATGCATTTTATAGAATACACATGTCTTTTTATTTAAATACAAATTCTAAACAAAATTAAGGCTCAGAACAAACAGACCAACATTTTTGCTGCAGCCAAAATCGCAGAAATTCATAACGAGGACGAACTTGATGATTTTACCGTTGAACTCAATATATTGTTCGAATGTAAACACAAAAATATTGTTGGGTTGCATGAAGCTTATTATTTCAAGCAAAAATTATGGGTAATTAAATATATTTTAATACATAAAATATTTTAAATCATTATTATTTTTTGGCTCATGTTTGAAATATTATTCGAATAATTCTATATATCAAAAGATTTAAAATTGGCTTCTACGAACATGTTTTGATTTTAAATAAGTTTGGGGTTTTACAATTAATATGCAATGTAATTTCTAATACACAAATTCTTATATAAATTAATGTGGATTATAAAATATTAAATGTTTTGAAAGTTGTAGTAAGGAACTGACTGAAATTATATATTAATAATTAAGTGAACTAATAAATTAATTAAGTAAATTTAAATCTACTTTATTTCATAAAATATATATATCAAAAAAAAATTTCAAAAAATGAGAAATTTTATTTCTATACAAACTAAATATTTTCATATAAGGATTTGAATACGCGTAAAAGAGATGATTTACAATTTATAACTAATAATTTATCCAAAACAAAATATTTGCATAATTAAAACAAAATATTTAATTGCAACTTTATTTAAAATCCATAAAAATATGATCAAATCTTATAACATTCCATTCCATCAAATAACAGTTCCGCCGTATTCTGCATAATCCTCCAGTCGGTTCTTTCGTCGATTATCTTGGCAGTAGTGACTGGTTATTACCCACTAGGGCTCTCTCCATATAGCGTATAAAATGATTGCCCCCACAACCCTAACATCTTCTAATACGGTATGGTACCTATATCCTCCTTGATATCTTCCACTCCTCTCCTCTACCTTGATCTCTGGTTAACGTCCTTACCTCATTAATCATCTATACAGGCAGGATGTCTCTTCTCTGACCTGTCGTAACCATTTTCTAGATTCTCCGGACCCATCTATTTCACGGATTTCCATCTTTATGATCTTATTTCCAACACATATATACGAGACCATCTAAAAACAAAATTAATATGCATATAATATTTATCCCTTCCTCTCCCTTTTCTTCTATCTCACTGTACCTCTACCCTTAAGACAATTTTTTATCGTCCCTTGATAATCCTTCGTTTTCCTTTTCAATGCAACCTCTAGATATTATTTTTCTACATCTATTTTCTTTTATTATAAATTTGCTATCACCCAAAATTTCGTTTTTCAGTAAAAAACCTCAAATTCAATTATTTTGCTATTATCCCAAAATTTCGTTTTTATATAAAAACGTCGAATTCCCTTAATATATCTTGTTTTCATTGCTCTCTATTCTTGGTCATGTCTGTTTCACATTTCTCGGCCATGTATCCCTATGGCCTTCAATTTCTACCTCAACTTTCTTTCTTCCTATATTTTTCATACACCCTTCCTCCATTTAATAGACCCTTCAAACAACAATACCCAAACAAGATATCTTATTGGAAATTTCTCAATATTAATTTGTTCTCTTATTGTTGATTTTTTCTTTAAAATCATATTTAGATCTCGTTTTTCACCCTATCTCCGCTGGAGACCTTTCTTTAGATGTCTTAGTATTGTTGTATGCTAACAACGATAACGACATTTTCCTTCTCCATATTTTTATTTTTTTAACCAACTTTAAACTATAGCTACCATGCGCTCGGCCTGCCCATTGCTTCTTGGGTAATGTGGTGGTGAAACTAAATGCTGAATCTTACATCTTTCAAAAAATCTACCAAATGCTCTACCTTTAAAAGCTGGAACTTCATCTAATACTAACATCTTCATTAATCTATATTTTCCTACAAAATCCTTTATCTTGTCCAAGGCTACTCTTGTAAACCAGAAACCTGTTGACAATCTATCCATTTTTAACTTGCATCTACCATGATAAAGTATCTTATTTTCTCATATTCTAAATAATCTACATTTATTATTTCGCGTGGAATGCTGGTCTCTGGCCATTTATCTTCCTTGTTTCTTGGTGGTACATTAGTCCACACATATATCACAACTCTTAGCTACATTTTCTATCTCGCTATTCATTTTAAGCCACCAAATATACTCTCATGCTTTATTCTTCATTCATTCTATGCCTTGATGTCCGGCATGCACAGCTGCTAAAATATCTTTTTTCAATAAATCAGGTATAAATAAATCCTCTCATTACACAATTGTCTTCTATGTTTAATTCAATCTTAATGTTTTTGATCGATTTGTATTCCCTTTTCCATTCTAGATCTCCTTTCAAACATGCTTTAATTCTCATTAAATCTTCATCATGTTTGGATATAACTAGCACAAAAGTTATCGGCTTTTCCCTTGTATCTTCCTTCAAAGCCTTTATAATGCTATTATTTAATTTATCTTCTAAGAAAAACTGCTCTAAACTATTAATTCTGAGTTCTATTTCTTCATTTTCTATTTCCTTAACAAACAACTTTGATAATATGCCTGGTAAACAATTTAGTCTACCCGCTCGGAACCTTATTTCAAAATCGAAGCTACCTATCAATAACAGCCTTTTTCAGTTTGGATGAAATCATTAAATTTCTTTCAGTGCCATTAATTGTTTGGTTATTAATCATTTGCAACAAAGCTCCTCCTATACTTTCATTAACATCTATATATATAATCACCGTAATCAAGAAATGAACGTTTTCGTATATCCTTAATGTTAATTTATTTTTTTTATTTTTCTTATCAACTTTCCTATCTTCTTAATGTTAATTTTTATTTTTCCTATCAACTTTCCTATCTTCTTAATGTTTATTAAATCGATGGAGACTATATCTCTCTAATGTTAAATTTTAAGAAAATTTTTTATACATAACGGGATTCGAACCCATGACTTAACGTTTTAAAGGCAAACGTTCTTCCCACTCAGCCACCTTCTATATTAAATTTTGTAATATAATCTTTCTTATATATGTTATTGTTATGCAATTTTATTTTTATTGGTTTATTAATCTATATTTTTATTGGCTTATTAGGCCTTTATTTATTGGTTTATAGTTATTTATATTATTTAATTTTAAAAAACCATTTTTTATTTTAATTAAAAAAATCGTAACGAAATGATTACAACAGAAAATAATGGTTATCAGAAAATAATTTTAAAGTCTCAACTGACCCATACTCAATCTGCATTTCACATGTTGATATTAATAACGAAATGATTACAACATGACATAATAGTATATCTGCCAAAGGCCCCAGCATAATTAACTAAGCAAACTTTATTTATTTATTTGAGATTCTTAAGATACAGAATATTTAAAAATATAGGTAAATATTGATAAATTGGTATTATATGTCATTTCCAGAGTTCAAATATTGTTTGAGATAAAATTTTTATACTGGCATATCTTGGGGTGGTAATATGAGATAAATTTTTATTTTTCAATTGGCTAAATATAATTTAAATTTATTTGTTAAATCTAATTTATGATTACAACAGGACATAATAGTACATCTGCCAAAGGCCCCAAAATATAGCAGACAGTAATTAAAAAGATGTTTAATTTTTATAGATATTATTACAGAATAAATCACCACCAGGTTGGCACAAGATTTAAATCATGTTTGAGCTTACCTCTGGTTATCAGAAAATAATTTTAAAGTCTCAACTGACCCATACTCAATCTGCATTTCACATGTTGATATTAATAACGAAATGGTTACAACAGGACATAATAGTATATCTGCCAAAGGCCCCAGCATATAAGAGACAGTAATTAAACAGATGTTTAATTATTTTCTTTATTAACTAAGCAAACTTTATTTAGTTATTTGAGATTCTTAAGATACAGAATATTTAAAAATGTAGTTAGATATTGATAAATTGGTATTGTATGTCATTTCCAGAGTTCAAATAGTGTTTGAGATAAAATTTCTATACTGGCATATTTTGGGGTGGTAATATGAGATAAATGTTTATTTTTCAATTGGCTAAATATAATTTAAATTTATTTGTTAAATCTAATTTATAATAAGTACTTAGGATTAGTGAGGAAGGTTAATTTTCTGGCATGGGAAGATATTGATAAATAGGTATTTTAAACTATTTGCAAAGTTCCCATATTGTGGTTGAGATAAAAAAATTTTTTTACTACCATATTTTGCGATGGTGAACGTATATTTTTCATAAAATCTTTATGTAAGGAGTTAATGTTTTACAGCGACATGCTTTTGATCAGGTTATCTTGGCTATTGCCGATACCTCAATTACTACCAGATTTTTCTATATAGATGCTCCTGGTGGATCAGGCAAGACGACATATCTTTATAATACTTTACTACACTATCTTAGAGGACAACAAAAAATGTCATACCCTTTGCTACCACAGGAGTATCCTCCATACTTCTAACCAGTGTAGATTGTCCTGGGTTCAAATGCAACGATTTTAATCTTCCATCTCCTGACCCTATCACTCAATCTAATTTATATGACCCAATAATAGAAGCAGATGTCGCAATGGTAATGTTAGCCAATCTAAATGTTTTACAGCGACATGCGTTTGATCAGGTTATCCAGGCTATTAACGATACCTCAATTACTACCAGCTATTTTTATATACATAACGGGAAAAAGAAATACTTTCAATCTCCTTACTTAATGGAATTTACTTCCAAATTTTAGAAAATTCACTGAATGTTCTCAAAAAAATTTTTCCTGTAATAGTTCATGATTTTTTTATTCCCGTCATTCTTGATGGGTTATCAACTAGTAATACATAAATTCTCATTAAAACAAATCAGAATAGGTGTATTTGCATCTTTATCTTAAGTATTTCAAAACTTGCATTTTGTTCTTTTTCCCATTCAAATCAGATATTTTTCTTTAACAACTTGTACAATGGTTTGGCTATCTCAGCGAAATTCGGCAGGAAACGATGATAATAATTTGTAGCTCCTAAAAAAGATCGTAATTCCGTCTTATTATTCGGTGATCTCAAGCCCACAATCTTCTTTATATTCTTGGAAATGGGAGAAATTTTATTTCCCTTTATCATGTCCTAAGTAAATTACTTTTTTTACTCCAAAAAAACTTTTTTCATATTAGCTCTCAGATTATTTTCTAAAATTAAATCAATA